TTTATTAAATCAGGCACTATCTCTAAGCGACAATTAGTAAATAGCTTATCTTATTGTTATCCACCTGAGGAAACAAGATTAGCTATAAACAACCTACTAAGCTTATCCTTAGTTACCATAGATAATGCTCAATATATTAGTACAAATATATTAGTGCAAGAACTTGCCATGGAACTCTCCGAATACCAATCTGCAGCAGACTTTTTACAAATTGTATCTTTATTTAAATCAAGATATATTTTAATAGTACATATACTTTCATTTTTGTTAACTTATGAACTTGTACAGAAAGTTAAAGAAATTAAAGAATTATTATCAAGTTTAGAGGTACAATACAAGTATAACATGGGAAGGACTTTGACATTACTACTAAAAGAAGCCCAAACTAGCTTGCAATCAACACAACGTGAGCAAATTATAAACACTTTAAAAAATTTAAAGCATTTTATAACAGAGATAAATACAGAATTACAATCTTTGTTGACATTTTTAACAAATAGTTGATCAGACGCATAAAAGCAAGAAGTTGAAAAGGCATTTTTAGTTAAAAATGGCTCTCTTATAAAGAACTTGCTTACGACATTTAGTCTTTTTAAGCTACATGCACAGCAATGTTTCTCATGCAATCAGGTTGCTCAGAATACTGAGAATGTTTTTATAATAGGACCTACAGGCAGCGGTAAAAGTACTGTAATTGACCATCTTATTGAAAATTGGAATGTGTTAGAGTTGGTCGTAATGGCGCAGAAGTTGTGATAAGAGTAATTCAAGCAGAAGACGATATTTTATTAGGATCAGGAAATTATATTGTGGCAGAGATTGGCAATAATCCAATAAGTTCACAAACGAATTTTATTACCCCATATTACAACATCAATAAAGGCATCACATATTGGGATTTTTCAAGTTTTTTTGATAGTAGGGGAAATATGAAAAAAATGCATCATGTCTTTCTTATGTAATCTTTTAGCAAAGTAGTACTAATGTTTAAAATACTTTTGGTTATAGAAGTAGCAATATTAAGTACTATGAAAGGTGAAGGTTTTATAAATTTGTTAAATAGTTTAAGTCAATTTTGTTCCGCGGACCAAATTCATGATAGTTTATCACTATTAATTACAAAATGTGATCCGTTTGAGCAAAATTCCGTTGATACTCAAAAGCAATTAGATGAGGAACTTCTTATGTAGAATAAATATTTTCTGAGTTTTTAGAAAAAACATAAGGCAAGCAAGTGCACAAGTGCTATAGAGTTATTTACACGTGATAATATGAGAAAAAAAATTGCATTATTTTTTAAAGTTAAAATAGGCCCAATAACAAAAGATTTTTTTCAAGGTTTAAATTCTACAGTAGGGGCAAGTCAACCTGCAAATATAGACTTTCATTTAAGTCTAGACGCTACAACAACAAAAGAAATTACTATCCTTTCACATTTATTGAACTCCAATGCTCAACATCTTACTCAAGAGAGAGCTGATACCCAAACTGCGTCAGGACCCTGAAACAAAGTATTCAACAAAACGGTTTTCGAAAAAAGATCTATTTGAAATCAAAAAATTATCAGTTTCTAACATAAATGAAAGACAATTTATTGAAGGATTCAGACGCGAAACTATGTTCAATAATATAATGACAACGCTGAAGTTTTTCCATGTATTAAATCCCGCATGTGAACCTAATCTGGAAAATTAAATACAACCATTTACTAGATTTTATACTGAATATGATAAACTAGTCCAAAAAAACACTGGAGATACAAAAACAGCTGGGGTAATGCAGTTTAAAGCCCCGATTCTAACAGCTTTGGAAGTGAAAAAAGCATATGGAAGCCCAAGGCCAGAAATCACTGCAGTAAAAGTTTATTCCTACCTATTTATTGTATATCAAGACTTAGAACCTCCTAATATAAATTTAAATATTGCAAGTCATGAATGGAGAGTTATTGGTGATCAAAGGATTAGTCTAAAAGGTAATAGTACTGAAAGAATTATAGATAGTAAGCGTGTTAAAATTATAAATTCTGGAAGTTAAGATATTGAAGTTAAAATTGTAGATCTAGAAAACAAACTTAGCAAACCTTTGTCAGAGACTAAAAGAGAGGAAAACGCAACAAATGTACAACAAGAGAAGATCAAAAAAAAAAAAAAATCTGAGGATCTTCAAGAGATACTGAAAGAATTAACAACTATTAAGAAGTTGCAAAAACTAATTAACATTTACTCTGTTTATCAGCAATTTTGTAAGGAATATGTGCCACTTACATCAGTTACTATTGATGAAGATGCTAAATATCGTCGTAGTGAAGAAGTTATGAAAGCATATGAAAAAATTGATAACGTTACTGAAATGTTGACTCAAGCACTACAAGTTCAAGAAAAACAAAATTTAAATAAGTATCAGGATGTAGAAAGTTTTTCCCAAAAAGTTAAGAGCATTGCTCTTGGCTTTGAACCTGTAGCACTTCAACGCCATAAAGAATGTTCTGTTTGGCAAGAGCAACGTAAGAAAGGTGAAGATGAACTTTCATGCAAACATTTAATAGCTGTGAATGATGTACAATTTGAATATAACGCTCAATATATAAATAATTTATTTGAACATGATTCTATAAAAAATGATCTGGATATTAGAAGTTAAGCACTAATTCAATTAAAAAAAAACATACAAAAAGCAGATAACAAAGTTACAACAAGATGTAGTAGACTTTATCAAACACGCCAGCAATATAAAGCTCAAAAAAAAAAAAAAAACGTGGTGAACTTAGATAACATCAACAGTACTTAGAAAAAACGTTATCTACTGAGATTGAAGCGAAAGAGTTAAATGAGAAAACTAATGAACTGAAAGCAGCTACTTATAGAAAAAATCTAGCATATAGAGAATTGAATTTAATAAAAGGCAAAAAATTCCACAGTTTTAAACACATATGTTTTAAATGAAAAAGTAGGAGTAAATGAAATTTTAGCTTCAAGATTAACTCATAAGTTATTAAGATCTATAAACAGTGATGAACTTGCTAAACAGTCTGCAGAACAAAAAAGTAAATTAGAAGAGGAATTGTCACAAGTACAAGATACTAAAGATCGTACAAAAGAAATAGCGCAAAAAATAGAACAATATGCTGAAGTTAAAGTAAAAATAGAAATTTTTGATGTTAAAAAACTCGTAAATATGTCAGTTAATAGATACCATCTTGCTGGAGAATGTAAATATCAGCTAGAAAATAACGATAAAGATAAGTTAGAAAAAAGATTTAAGGACTCAAAAGTGAAGTTTATGTTATTATGGAAAGAAGATCATTGGTTTGGTTGTTTGCGTAGTATTACCGATAATAAGCTAGAGACTTACTCAAACAAACTAGCGACTGTTGTTCAAGAGACTTATAAAAAACTAGCAAGTTTAGAGAATAGACTAAAACATGCTAGAGTATGCCCATAAACTTTATTTGAGGCAGTAAAGAAGTATCAAGAAGCAGAAAAACAATTCCAAATAGCTAAAAAAGATTATCAGCAATGGGTAAAAAACCACCAAGACATTTTAAGTGATACTATTAAAGTTTATAATGAGTACATAAAATGTGATGCGCAAGTTAGGTGGTATTTAATCAAGAGGCTTAAAGCGTAGATCGTTTGTTACGTAAAGAAGTGAATTTGTTAGAAAAGATTGAACGTAAATGGGACGATAAAAACCTGTTCTTTAGATGTGCTTACATCGTTAAAGAAATTTTTCTGATTAATAGACAGTTTTATGAAACATATAAGCTTTCTCCCTTACAGAAATATTCCATGGAAAACCCATGGAATTCCATGAGTAAACCATGGTTTTCCCATAAAAAACTGGAATTTCTATGGGTGAATTTCATGAAAATTGAAATCCCATGGAATTTCCATGATTTTTTTTTCATAGCTTATGCTGCGCCATGGTTGTTACGAATGCGTTTTCAAAGATGGCGTCATAGCTTGTACAATTACGATTAGTTTTAACTTAAGTAAACAATACTTACTGTATTCTTCTGTGTTTAATAAGACTATAAATGATATGTTTGTTATAATGCACCACATTTATATGGTTCAAACTAAACATACAGACATAAGCAACTAGATATATTTATCATATTATAATGCATTATAAAATGGATTATTTTTAATTATATTTAATTTTATATCATTTATGCATATACTTATTTTAACTGTTTCCAGTAGCTTTGCATAACTTGCAATAGTATAGCAAGTATGTCAAGTAAACCAGTTTGAATTTTAATGCTTACTTGGCAAATTATTTGCCAAGTAATTATTATTTGGTTTACAACAAATACACGTTTAGTTTTAATCTACATTAAATAACAAGTGTATTAATGTACATAGTGTAATCTAATGTACATTAAAACTTATATAATTATTATTATAAAACTTAAATAACATATTAAACAAACTTATCTAAAATATTAATATACAAGCAGTATATCAGATAAGATTAGATAACTAAGATACAATAAGATAATAAAATTAGATAACTAATGTACAAAAGATAACTAGTACAATCTTTTTTTTTTTTTTAATAATATCCTCAGATTACATAAAAATGCTTGAAGTTAATTGTATGGTAATTGTTCATTAAGTATTAAAAAACGTTTTTTTATGATAAATGTTCTATTCAGTTTTAGTTCTGTTATGTTGTTTTTAGTTCTGTTAAGTTGTCAAAGGATGTGAAAATAAAATAGTGAATTGAGTTAAAATTAACCAGAATAGATATATAAATAATCTCTGGGATTCAACTTGTAAGAATGTTCCAAAAACCACTTAGTTGGAGAAGAAAAACTGTGGTAATGTTTTAAAAGTATCAGAAAAGGAACTTAATTAATGCACAAGATTTTACTTCGTTGTTAAATATAAGTATATAAAAGCAATGTTTAAAAATAATACACTATTACTTATTAAAATATAATTATTTTTATTTGTTTATATTTAACTAATGTAAAGTGCTCAACAGCAACTATATTTGTTGCTGTCTTGTTCTATATAAATGTTACTAACATGCAGGAAAAATTTATATATGTGTATAAATCTTTTCATTTTAAGCTTATCATTTCATTTAAATTACTACATTATTAGCAGGCAGGTTTGACTTGCAATATAAATTTTTAATTTATTTATTTAGCTGTTCATTAACAAGTCCGGTGCTTTATAGTATATTTAAAGTTGGTAAGGACGTGAAGAAAACAGGTTTGTAAATGATGTTGTACATCATGCAGATAGCTCAGAAGAAGAAGTAAGTTTTTTTTTTTAATTACAAAAATAAATATATAATATAATATTTGTTGCTGCCTTGTTCTACATAAATGTTTCTAACATGCAGGTAACATTTATATATGTATTAGTTTGAATAAATCATTTTAACTAAGTTACATTATAGGCAGGAATGTTTGACTGGAAATATAAACGATGTTGTACATAATGCAGATAGCTTAGGCGAAAAAGAGGTAATAATCTAATAATTGTTATTTATAAATAATGATATATTCATTGCTATTTTTTTTTATATAAATGTTACCTAACATTTGGCAACATTCATAATTGATCCCGTCATTTCGAAAAGGGCACAAGTCCATTTATTCAAACTTTTCAGGATCAACAAAAATAAATTTATAAGAAAAAAAGTTTATGGTGCTAAAGAAACTGAATATAAGAGTAGATAAATAAAAGTCATACATAAGTTTTGAGAGTATAATTTTTATAAAAAAACAACATATAACACTTATATTTTTAATTTAAATTTATGGACTTATGTCTTTTTCGAAATGAACACTTTTTTGTATATAAAAATTCAAAGATTATCAGAAGAATAATGATTTATTATTAAATAAAAACAGTTATTGTTAGTTAATCTTTACTTAATTCATTGTTTGCCGAAGTTGTTGGACAAATAAAAACATTTGTATAGAAGTTTTGGTACTCTTCTATTAAATATAGAATATATTTTTCTATTTTTTTCAAATCTGATATCTTTTTTTCATTGATAGGCAATTTTCCAACATATGCAAGAGTACTACTTAATGGTAAGGTTGGCCTTGTACCCATCATTTGTAATCGCTGAAAATCATAACTGACTAAACAATCTATGGATTCACGTGGTGTCACTAAACCTGGTGTGGTCTTAGAGAATGTGAAATGTGACACTTTAGAAATACCAAAAGTAACTTTTTTGTCCTTGGGTACTCCTTTTCCATAAGAAACCACAGATAGCACAAGTTTCTTATAATGGTTTGGTCACCTTTTTTTTTTATATCAAAAATATCTTCAGTTTTGGGCCTTCTAATTTCAAATTTTTCGCTTGCTTTAGCTATAATATTTTCATACTCTGTTGGTGTGTAAATCCGATCATTTTTTCGAATATGTCGCTTTGCTGTTCTAAACATTCTATCATTAGGCAAGAATGAGTGACCTCTTTTTGGTATGTAATATTGTATCTCGTTTATATTGTTATCTAGTTCAGCTACCAGTGATAAAAGTATTCGGACCATGGCATGATTTCTGTTTTGGCCTGCACAACCATCTAAAAAAAGGTGCATTTCGTTGACAATATATTTTAAAATATAATCCAGCACAAAGGTACATACATCGTTGGAACCTTTGTTAGCAACTCCTTTACAATATGAATAAAATACTGATTTTCCAGTTTTAAAATCATATATGCAAAACTCATACAGCCATAGTTGACGAAGATAAAATATTTCCTGGACAGGGATTTGTGGAAGTGGCAAATTTTGCATGAAATCAAATGAAATCCTATACACATTTGGATCGTTTTTGCACTTAGTTTCAACTTCTTGTGTTTTTTTGTAAAATTTGTTTGCTTGTCTTTTGTGGATCTCAATATCTGCTTAATAGATTCTTTTTGCATTGTCATTAAGGTGTGGGTTTTTTAGTTAAATTTTTATCTCTTCGCACAGTCCACAGAAATCCATTTGCTTTACCAAATGATAAACTAAAATTTTCTTGGAAAAATTTAAGGTAGAACTTATATTTAACAGGATGATCTAAATATTTTTGTGCGTATAACGTGTGCATAATTTTTGCATTGAGTTTTTCATCCAAATAATAAGATGATGCATCTTTACTATAGTAGTGCACATATTTAACAGGAAATTATTCGATATGCTCACGTACTTTTGTTAATGTATCTCCAGGTATTGCGTTGCATCGTGATCCCTGAGATTTACCTCTGTGATCTATAGGCTGCTCATTTTTTTTTTAATAAAATGCATAAACGTCTAATTTGTTTCATAAAAATTCCATGCATACTGCAAAAAGCTTTTTTTGTCATGCCTTTAACATTGATGTGATAAATAAAAGAAAATTCTTTTTCCTTAGGTTCTTCAGATCTAAACTGTCTTCTCTTTATTTCCTTCTTTTCAATTAATGACTGCAAGTATGTGTCTTTGGCATTTTTACTATCAAATTTGTTAACAAACTGAATTGTACTTTCTATAACATCTTCAGATACAAGCTCTACACTTCGAATTACATCTGCAAATAAATAGAATTATTGAGTTAATATTATAAAATTATATATCAAGATGTTGTACCTCCAAATATTGGTGGTAAAACATGAGTAAATAAGCAAAAATTTGAAAACGAATATAGTCATTCTATATTATAGAACAAAAAACTAATCTGCAAGAAGCACTTGTTTGTCTTGGTGCTACACCATTTTCTTAATGCTTTTTATAAACTTCTCCAGCAATTTTGGCTTTTTTTATTTTTTTGTGTTTATAATTTCCACTGTTTTTTATACCAATCTTTCTTTTTCTAAATTTATATGCATTTTCAGCAAGTCGCGATTTTCCATTTTTTGTTACAAATAAAGTGAGATTACGTCACTACAGTTGCGCTTTGTTTCACTTGAAAAAGGCATAAGTCCGGGACTTGTGCCATTTTCAAACAGACTTTAACTTTCATTTGCATTTTAAGTTGACTTGTAACATATGAAAATGTTTCTCCTTCAATGGGAATATGTAAAACACTTGAATTAATAAAATTGGATTAAAAAGTGAAATTTGAAAAAAGTGTGACTTGTGCCCTTTTCGAAATGACGGGTTCAATTGTGTATAATGCCTAATTATAAAGTAAGTTAAATAGATAATAATTATTAGTAAAATGAATCAGTAAATAAAAAAAACTTGTTAGAATGTGTATAATAGTTGTATGATGTATTGTCTAGATTGATAAAATGGAGAATGAGACTAACTACGGTGAAAAAATAATGAATATCAAAATGTGAATGGTACTTTGTTTGACATCTACCTGTTTCTACAGACACAATGCAGTCGCACTTATAAATGGGCTTGATGTTTTTTTGGATCGAATATGTTGTATTGATGGTTCTTTTTAACTTGTTAAAACTATTAGTTATTATCAAATTTATATATACTATTTTTATCAAATAGTTAATATAAAATAATAAACATGTAAATTGTTTTATTTTCTGTAATAAAAAATTTTCTTGATATATTTCAATTGTTTATCACTATGTATATCACTTATAGTATTATATTACTTGTAGTTTTTTGTTTTATTTATTTTCAGTATGTTATACATATGCATGCATTAAATATTGTGGGGAAGTCAAGTTTTGATGTTTTAGGTGCATTATAGCTATTATTTTTCAAAGATTTGTAGGATTTAACAAGTTTTAAATTTTTTTTTGTTTATTGATTTTATTCGGAGAAAGCAATCCCATAGATTATAAGAACTCAATAACAATATTGTGATAAAATTTGCTTTTATGATTTAATATGAGAATTCAAATATCATTAGATCAAATAAACTTGAAAACAAATCATGCTTTTTTACCATGAAAAATCCATGAGTTTTCCTTGAAAAGGTGTTCCTAATACCTATAAAAATTCCATGGTTTTTTCCATGGATGGAAATCTCATTGAATATCAAAGGTATTTGGAACACTTTTCCATGAAAAATTCATGGAATTTTTTATGAGAAACTCACGGGTTTTCCATGGAAAACTCATGGATTTTCATTAAAAACTCATGGGTTTCCCATGGATTTTTTATGGAAAACTCATGGATTTCCCATGGAAAATTTATGGGTTTCCCATGAAAACGTGTTCTAAATAACTATGGTTTTTCCATGGGTTTTTTTCATGGGTTTTTTCATGGGAATTTTCCGTAAGGGCTGGTTCAGAAGTAGTAGAGAAACTCACACAGTTATTCATACACAAAAGCTAGGTCAGGGTAGTAAACATTCATCTATTCTAGAAAGTACATATATTAGTGAATATATTTTTTTGGTTTGCGGCATTGAACGAGCAAGACGTGTTTTTCGAGCAATTAATTATTTTTAAAAAAATGGAGGTTATGATGATAAATTTAGAAAAACTTATAAGCAGCAAACTTGATGAGCAAAAAAAAAGCATATTAAAAGAAAAAAAAGCATATTAAAACTTTTAAAAAATCAGGAAAAGATATTTACAGATATTTTGAGTGCGAACTTAAAAATAATATCAGATTGGCTTGACAAACTTGAAAACGAATTTAATAAAAACAAAACAAAAGTTGTAATAATTGAAAAAGACATAAGTGATTTAAAGGAAAGTATTAACTTTCAGGAAGAAACCTTTTTAAACAAAATATCACAAACAAACAGTCTGTGGAACAGCGAAATTAGCAACTTAAAAAACAAATTTATATCCTTAAGAAACCGTTTACGACAGAATAACCTAAGAATTGATGGATTAACTGAGCTGCCCGCTGAAAATTGGAATGATTGTGCAAATAAGCTTAAAAATATATTTAGAAACAAGCTGGAAATCTCAGAAGACATAATAATTAAAAGAGTATAATAATATATAGTATAATAACAGAAAGAGCGTATCAGAAAAGTTAAAGAAGATAAATCTCCAAGAACCATGATTATCAAACTATTAGACTTTAAAAACAAAAATAAAATTCTAACATCAGCAAAAAAACTCTAGGGAACAGGAATTTTTATTAACGAAGATAACTCGAATGAAACAATGGAAATAAGGAAAAAGCTTTGGGAGGAAGTCAAACGGTTACGCAAAGAAGGTAAATACGCTATTATTAAATATAATAAAATATTTGTTAGAGAATTTTCTAACTAGGAGAGTGATTAGTAAACAAAAAAATAAAAAATAAAAACAATCTTTGTAATTAAAATTTGAAAACCGACAAAATGGCAAACGATACAACAGATTTTGAAACCTATTATTCCGATTATTTTAAAACTGCAAATAATATGTTGCATAATGACTCTTACCACGCGGATAAAAAAATATTTAACGACAAATGTTCTAATACAGAATATTTCGGTATTGAAACTTTTAAAACCCAATTCAAGCAAAGTAATGATTTCACAGTTATAACTCAAATATCAACAAACTGAAAAATTTTCTTTCAAAATGTAAATATTCTTTCAGCATGATTTGTCTCACCGAAACGTGGTGTACTGACATTTTTTCTCAAAAAAACTCAAATTTTTAAATTACTAACTACAACATGATTTCTTTTGAAAGAAAAATACTCAAAAGAGGAGGAGGAATTATAGTTTATATTCGGAATGATCTTAAAAAAAATTAGAAACGATCTCTCATTCTCTGATGCCGACAATGAGGCCCTCACAATAGAAATAATCAATATAAATAAAATTCTAGTAATAACATTCTAGTAACTACTTGTTACAGGCCACCTAATGGTAATATTGTCAAATTTTCAAACTATTTGAATCAGATCTTTATAAAAAATAACAATGAAAAAATATATATATTTTGCATAGGAGACTTGAACATAGATTGTTTAAAATACAACGAAAAACCAACATTAAAATCTTCTTTCAGCTTTATTAATTTCAGCTCAGTATATTCTCATTAATTAACAAACCCACCCGAGTCACCTCAACCTCAATTACAGCCATAGATAATATACTGACCAACTCATTTTTAGACATATCCTTAAAAACAGGAATATTTAAAGTTGATATATCAGACCACTTTCCAATATTTTTCTCTTTTACGCAAAACTCAGCGTCATTAAATAATTCGAAAATCAAAACATATAAAAGAAAAATTAACAAATCTTCTATTCACGAATTTAAAGAAACCTTATCAAAAACGAATTGGTCAAATGTTTATCTACAATGCGACCGAGGTCTTACAAATTCTGCTTATAATATATTTATTGGTACTTTTCTTGAGCAACAAACACTTTCCAATTATTGAAAAAGAAATAAAAGTTAAATATTTGAGATGTCTATGGATAACAATTGGAATAAAAAAATTGTCTAAGAAAAAACAAAAACTACACAATAAATATTTAAAAAATAGAAAAGAAAAAAGTATTACTGTTTATAAACAATACAAAAACCTTTTTGAAAAAATTAAAAAGAAATCTAAAAAAAAGTATTTTTCTAAACAATTACATAGCACAATAGTAGTATTAAAAAAACATGGGAAATTATGAACGAAGTTATTGGAAAAACCAAAACTAAGTCCGAAATATTACCCTCCAGAATTGAGGAAGATGGATTGGAGTATACAGATAAAAAAACTATTTCCGATAAATTTAATAAATTTTTTGTAAATATCGGTCCTAAACTGGCATCCAAAATAAACAACTCAAACAATTCATTTAATAACTATCTTACTGACCATCTTACAGTTCATCTACTGAGAGTGACCTAAAATCTGAGGAATTTGAAGAAGCAACAAAATCAATTAGAAAAAACAAAGCTCCGGGCATCGACAACATTTCTAGCAATGTAGTATATGATTTTTTATACAATTAAAAAGATCTTCTTTTAGAGGTTTTCAAGTCATCAATTAAAACTGGAGTTGTTCCAGACAAATTAAAAATTGCAAAGGTTTTACCTATATTTAAAACTGGAGACACGGCTTTGCTACCCAATTATAGACCTATCTCAATTCTTCCAGTTTTTCCAAACTCCTGGAAAAAATAATGTACAACCGACTTTATAAATATTTAACAGCCAATAAAATCTTAAGTGAATGTCAATACGGCTTTCAAACAAATCATTCTACGGAGCATGCAACCTTAGACCTAATGGACAAAATTAGATCATCTTTTGATAAAGGAAAATTTGTATTGGGAGTTTTTATTGATCTTACAAAAGCTTTTGATACTGTCAACAATAAAATTCTGCTGGACAAAATTAGAAAGTACGGTATAAAAAACCAAACTACTAAATGGTTCACTAATTATTTAAATAACAGACAACCATGTGTTATAATAGACGGTATCACTAATACAAAGTTATTAAAAATAAAATGTGGTGTCCCCTAAGGATCTATTTTTGCACCTTTATTATTTCTTATCTACATTAACGATGTCCCTAAAGTCTCTACAAATCTCGATTGTATAATGTTTGCAGATGATACTAATCTGTTTTACTCATCTACCTCTTTCAATGACCTTTTTGATAAAGTCAACATTGAGCTTCAAAAACTTAAAACATGGTTCAGTGCTAACATGTTATCGTTAAACGCCCAAAAAACTAAATAAATTTTATTTCACTCAAAGAAACAGAAAAATAAACTACCATCAATTCTACACTCACTAAGTATCGAATACAAAAAAATTGAAAGAAACCAAACAATTAAATTTCTTGGTGTGATTATTGACGAAAATATTTTATGGACAGCCCATATAAATGCCATCAACACTAAAATATATAAAAGTATTGGTATACATTATGTTCATTTAAACTATGTAAATTAACAGAAAAGAAATTAATGAAAAATTAAAAAGGTGAAAAAGAAGTTGTATATAAAAATATTAATGATAAAAAGTGTTATTATTTACATAAGAATGAACAAATTGCAATTTACATTGTAAGAACTTTAAAATATTAAATATCAATATTTAATATTTAAAATGAATTAGGTCTCTTTCAGAACCTAGCGAAGCAAGGATTCATAAAATGAATTAAAACATCTTTACATTTATAAAAAAGAATGAAAAATATACAATAACTTTTAATATTAATTCAGATTTAGAACATAGAGCAATATATGATAGGCATATTAAAGTATTCGCACAAGAAGATTTTACAGTAAAATCAAACTTATATAACAACATTTCTTTAATGTGTGGAGTTAAAATAGATAAAGGACATGTATTGATTTCACTTGCAGAAAATTATAAACCTACTCTAAATTTACTAAATTCTGTTGTAATAGAGTCTACTGATAATATTAAAATAACTTTATATAATAACGATAAAAAAGATATAAATATTAAAAAAGGAGATTTGTTATGCTGTATATCAACTTATAATGGTGTTTTTAATGCAAATTATATATCACA